AAAGCGACATGGTAAGATTCTGATGATGCCTTCCAGAGTTTCAAGGAAAAAAAAAGATTGTCAGAACACTTAGAATAATTAAAACCTTTCTTGTTAAAACACAGCATTTTTGGAAACATGAACCCCTAGGCCCGCTGCTACAGGCAGTACAAGTAGCTCAGGATTAAGCAGTATAAAAACTTCAGAATGTCTCAGCAATTGAATTTTAAAGAACTGGAAGTCTGAAAGTCTGATATCTGCAAGGCTTTACAAACCACAAGATCCTCAGAATTTGTTCTTAGGACAGCTTTATTGGTACGCATGCCTTGGAAGCTTCAAATGCTTTTTTTGTTCATCTTTTGGCTTTTTTTTTCCCCTCTCGTTAGAGTACACAGAAGATGACAGATATTACTAGGCTTCTGGCAAGTTCCAGGCTGCTGGGATTGATGTGTTAAACATCTTTCTTTAACAAAGTATTTCACTTGGTTAAGTGCACCCTTTAAAGAACTGCATGAATTTTGAAAATGCTGTGAGTAAAGGCATAGGTGAGCTTTTGTCTAGACTGTGAAATGTTCTTTGAAGTTGAAAAAAACTTAAAGGGAGAGGTTAAAGGATGTCATCTGCCAGTCTTCCTTCCCAATTTTCTTAATAAAGAATTTAATTGTAATATCTGAACTTGTAATTAGTTTCTAAAGTTTTTCTTGACCGCAAAATTTTCCATTCTCCCTCTGGAAAACACTTTGTGTCAGGTTGGCCTGTGTGATGCCAAGCTTCTCCTTTCCTGACAACAGGGAACCATGCAGGTAATTTTCTTAGAGAAGTCTGTTTGTTTTGCTTTGCAGATGATCTGAAACTCACTTGAGGAAATTGCAAGCTGTTTGATGTGTTTTGATTTCCTGTTCTGCAATTATCAAAGATCATCACGTGCTTATAAGTGTTGGAAACAGTGGTAATGGATCTGTTGTCAGATAACGTTGTGGATAAAGATTTTAGATTGGTCTACCAAAACTAAAATCATTGCCTGACAAAGGAAATGACATTTTCCTTCCAGATGAGGTTTAGTGTTCCTAAAGGATGGCCCTGAGTAGATGAGTCTGTACTGGGGGAATTGTTCCTCTCCTTTTTGAGCCTACAAATTGAAGACTGAAGAACAGGATTGGATTCTTCTTCCTGACACTTCTGATGTGTTCTTTTTACCTCTTGTTATTGCCGTCCTTTCCCTTTTGGGCTTTATCTTTCACATCCCCCCAGTGTTCATCTTTCTCCTTTTTAAGATTTTATATAGTTTCCCCTCTTTCCTGCAGTTTCCTGAGGTGCAAGATCAGCAGCTACACAATTCAGGACGCTTCCTGATCGCCCTCTCTTGTGTGTTTATCTTTTGAGATCTTCAGAGAGCATCTGAAGAAGTAACTATGATACATATCACTTCGTCTGTTTCATTATGAGGACTGTTCATCTTGGTCAAAGATGGAAATTTTATAGTCTTTCTAACTGACAAGTTGTCAATTCATTGAGAATCAAGCATGGCATTAGAGATTTTTTTTTAAAGGGAATGAATTGTTTTTCCCTGGGTATTCATACTTTCCCACTTCCTGCTTGTGCCCACAAATGGAAACTGAAGTCATGAGGTCACAGTGCTCCTCTTGCTGCAGAGCAGTGAAACTAGGAATACCTTAATGTTTATTTCCGTTCACCGGTTCATTTTATTAGTTCAAGCACAATTGTATTTCATGCAGCTTTTTTTTTTTTTTTTTTAATGTTTTGTACTTGCAACACAGTTAAAAAAAAAAAAAAAATTAAAATCTGTCTTTGCAACATAACCAGCGTCCCAGCAATGAATTGACCAAGAGAAATCAGGGGATTTGACCTCCTTAAAATTGACATGCTGATAGAAGTACTGCAGGGATAAAGCTTGTCTTACTGAAAAATAATGCAAGGGCATTATGGAGCTCTCTCTACAGTTGTCTTATTGCTGTATTTAACAACAACACAACTTGGCCTAAGGTAGAAGGGAACATGTTTAATTATTTTGAAAGGTTGTGAGTGTGTTCATCTCATAAGTCTACAGCATGGGAATATTACTTAAGGCTGTGTGGTTAATGCTGTACTGAAATCTGAGTTTGATATCTTAATTGGCTATCTTTAGTTCATAGTGCTGTTAAGATTGTGCTCTTAATGCCCCTTCTTACAGGCTCCACAGATACTTACAGAAAAAAAATGCAAACTGAAAGAAGCTATTGAATTTTCCTTTATATACCAGAATGTGCAATAGATACAATCCAGTTTTTCTCGTCTTTGATGTACCCTCTTGGCTCTGAATTGTTTTCTGTGCTTGGTTTGGAAATAAATCCAGAATTGCAGATTGAATTGAACTGAAGTAATTAATGAAACGGAATTGTGATCTGCGCATTTTTCTTAAATCAAGGACACCACAGGAATTAGTATTTGTATTATCATGCAGGCTTCAAAGTTGTGATACTGAGAAACTTTCTAAAAACCCCAATGCAAGGTGGTTGGTTTCATAGTCCTTCCTTTTCTTGTTCTTACCTACCTGACAGAACCATCAGGTTCCAGGTGAGGACTCAATATCATCATTTTCCCTTGTGAAAACAATGCAGAAAACCAAGAACATGAACGGTTTTCCCCTTATTCTTTCTTGTAATCAGTTTAGTTTTCATGGGAATGTTAAGCAAAGATCACAAGTGTAGATGAGGCTATTTCTCCCAATTAAACAATTGAACTTGCCCTAACCCTGTGTGTACCTGCACGTGCAACTTGCTGGTAGCTCACCTCTGACACTTGTACAGGTTTCAGCAGTTTCCAGTTGCACACCGGAAAGAAATCTAAAGAACATGTCCAGGTGTGATACAAATGCAATCACTACTTCAACGTTAAGATTTAGCACTGTGCAACTGTTTTTCCTTTCGTAGTTGAAATGCTAGCGTGAAGTAGTCTTGTATACCTGCATTTCTTAGCTCTGTACTCAAGGCAGATATGATGCAGACTGAATATGAACAATGAATGTACTCTTACAAGCTGCTGTTTCAGGTGGGTTTGCGGCTGCTTTTGAAGCTGCCAGAAACTCCAAACTTTCCTTTGCTTAGAAGAAGAGTCTTCAAGCTTCTTGTAAAGCATGGAGCAGGTCTCTTCCCTATCTTTGTATCTTTGTGTATCTTTGAATGTTTTTGTTTTCTTCAACCATTATCTTTTTTTCTGCTGCAAAGCAAAGCCTCTGTATATCTGTCCTGTAGTGAAAGAAGGACAGATGCAGGGAAGTGTAGAAGATTTAACATATTTAATTTACCTCTTAAGGTTAGGTCACTGTTTTAAGTATGTTCTCCTAGTCTGTAAGAAGTTTGTGGTGTGGGGTTGAGTAACCATAGAGATCGAGCTCTAATGCATTGATTTTCTGGTAACCTATTGCTTAAATTCACAACTTTAGTATTTAATATGTCTATGGAATATATTTAATCTTTAAATATGTGTTTTGCTTATACACTCGACTTGAAAATAGCTCATGGAAGTAAAGCAAGTTTTTGAGCGCTATAAAAATTACGTTTTAATAAATGACTCTCAAAGCCACTTCTACTATATGTAAAATGCACTGTAGGATTAAGTTAACCTCTTATCCATACTACCTCTAATATGAAGTTTGATGTTTGAAAGCCTTGGTGGGCATTTGTCTCCATCTGCCCACTGAAGCCTTAAGGGAAATGTTGTGAAGGTCTCGAGTTGTCTGGTTTTCCCTTTGTGCTACCTTCATGCTAACCTTCTGCAGGAGATTGATGGCAGGGAGGAGTTGGTGGTTATAGGAAATAAATGCATGTGATTAAGATGTCTTAGGTCTTCATTCATTGCTTGATGTTGTAGTTTTATTGAGAGCCTAATTTTCAAGGTAAATGGTATTGTGTGGAGTTTATTACTCTCTTGTGATAAGCAGGGAGAGAAAGATTGGTAAGAGTGGGCAAAGAATAAGGTAAATCTTCCTTCTATGAACTGTGATGTAGATTTTCAGTATTGTCGAGCAAGCTGGGATACAAGAACCAGGAAAATAAGTTTGTTTGTGGAGATGCATATACTGATAATTGAGGAAAAATAAAATGGCGATTTGAACAGCAGTCTGAAGTTGTATTGTTAATAGTGAGGATACTTGAAGATGTTCTGACTGCTCCATTGCTTAAAATAAGCATTAAAACACGTGTGTATACATGCATACTATAATATTGTGTATTATAGGTGAAACAAAGCTTTTTGGCATAGATGTGCAAATGTAACACTTGGCTGTTGGTGCGCTGTGACTTTTTTACTCACAAACAACTGTGACAGAGCTCTGCAGGCATGTGTTGTGTGTGCCTGCAGAGCAGCTCGGCTCAGCACTCATGGCTGGTGCTGCTGGAAGCAATGCAGCAGCAGTGTGCAGGCTGGCTGGGAAAAGGAGCACTACTGCGAGCGTGCACTGGAGGGCTCTGCAGACTGTGAGGAATGGAGCAGAAGCAATTTCGGTTGAAGAATGTATTTTAACTAAATTGGTGTGTTGTACCTATGTGAGGTTTAATGCTTGCTGGGCTATTTGCCATAATTGGCTTTCCATTCCCTTGATTGGAATCATAGATAAAAATTTGCTAATCCACTTTCTTTGCTGAAAGTATTAGAAAAGTAATCCATCTTTTAAAAATGCTCAGACAAAATCATGCGGTATAAAGAATATTTTATGAAATAATGAGATTAATGAGAACTGTGAGGCATATGCAATTTAAAACAGTTTTCTATGGGGAGCATAAAGCGGGTTTTAAGGGAAAAAACTCAACCCAGGCATTCTAAAGCCATAAGTACTTCCTTTTTTATGCACACGGAAGACTGTATTTTAAAAGCACATTACATGTTATCCTTTTGTCTGTGCGATAAAATACAGGTATATATCAAGGAAGAAGAAACTGCTATTTATTTGTATTTGTCTTATGTTTGAAAATGTCTGATTGAAAGTCTCTGGCTTTTCTCCCTTCCCCCTCTTCTGCCTGCAGGGGATCAGAGCACGCATTCTAGAGACGCTGGTAATGCTCATACTTCTTGCACTGCTTATCCTTGGAATCGTATGGGTGGCTTCAGCTCTCATAGACAATGATGCTGCCAGTATGGAGTCTTTGTACGGTATGGAATTTTGAAGAACAACCAAATAAAAGACTCCTTTGCATTAGCTTTTATTCTCTACACAGATGTTTTCTTTTAAATTTATTTCTACTAAATGCTATCTGACTATTACACAGATTGAGAGGTTGTATTAATTTAGTCAATAACTTTGTTCCCTTTCAATAAGTTTATTAGACGAGTTTTCGGTATGCTGATACTTTACATGCTTGGGTGGACAAGGTGTTGGATGTGTATGATAAAAACAAACGATTTTAGTGGCATAGGAATCAAAGCTGAAGATATTTTTCAAGTTAAGTGCTACAGGATTTTGTTGCCTGCGAATTTGTTAACTGAGTAATTCTTCGTTTACACTTCAAAATACAGAAATTCTTCCTGAGGAAGAAAGCTAAGGAAAAGGAGTTACTTTGGCTGTATTTGTGACATAAGTAGCCTATTTGTAATAAGCTAAAGCTGTGCCTATTGTATTTCTTGCAGACCTCTGGGAATTCTACCTCCCATATTTATATTCCTGTATATCACTGATGGGATGCTTGTTACTTCTCTGTAAGTATTTTCCTGATTTTTTTTTTCAAAAGTGTAATTTTTTTTTTTATTTTTAAAGATTGAAGGAAACTTTTTCTTTGTGAAAGTTGGATGTGAAAAATTGTGTATTTTTTTTAAGTTTAAATTTTGGTTTAAATTTGATAAGTTGGAATTCTGAAGTTTGTAAACAAATGCACTGTTGCATTTGCACCTGCAATTTTAATTTCTTAAAGCAGATGTTTGAAAAGGAGGGGCTCTCATTCTGCTTATGAAAACACAATTTTTACATGAAATGTCAGCAAAACATCACCAGTACAGAGTGAAATTAGAGCACTTAGTTTGTCCTGTGTTCAGTAAACTATGCTCTTCCTGTTTTTAATTGAAAATATTCCTGTAAAGGCAGAAGTTGGAACATAATACAGTTAATCCAGGACTGGTATCAGGTTGGTATGCAGTTGTATAGCAGACCTCCAGACAAAACAAGCACAGTTAGAAACCAGTCTTATTCCAACTAGTCCTAGCAGAGTTCCATCATCCCTACTTAGGGGAATAGGAAGGATGACAGGATGCTCCACATCAGACTTTGCATCAGGGCTCTTTTCACCTCCACTGCCCACATGTTATTTCTTTAAAATAAAATGAAATTGAGAGTGCGGGGAGCATCAGGACATCTCCCTTGCTGTAAACTGTGATTTCACCTGTTCTCTGATTTTGAGAGGTTGGCAGTTAATATTTACAGAACTGTTGTTATAGAGAAAAGGTGGGGATTGGTACTTTGAGACATTTGCTTAACCAAGAGTGTCAGCCTGGGAAAGGTATTGCTTGGAGAACTTAGTGGATCTCCTTAGGTTCTTTGTATGTGGCGATTCTAAATCCCATGTTCAGGGAGTAGGGAGTGAAGGTGGGGGGAAATAAAACTTGTGATTCTGATTCTTACTCATGAACATTTGGGATATTTGAGATTAAATCTTTCAGTGGGGCACTTGGTTTACAAAACTTCCTATGTGTGTCTTGCAGTTTATTTCAGTGGAGCTGAAAACACAGAGTGTGTTCTGGGAATACACATCATAATAATTGGCATTAAATGCCATTTTTTGGAGTTATTTTGAATTCATAGAGCCAAATCACTCCAGTTAGTCACAGCCCTCCAAGCTGTTATGAGCGTAACAGAAAAGGGCAACTTTCAGTAGTTGAAACATGGTAGATGCTGGGGTAGAGCTTTATTAGAACTTCAGGTGGCCTAATTGCTGAAGCAATGTACCAGTAAGGAAATGACAGGCTTATTGCTGGGATGATTTGCAGCAGTGCTACTTTTTCTTTTCTCTTTTGCCTGCAGGCTCTCTCTTTAGTCAAGGAAGACTAGCTTAAGTTAGCTATTGTGAATGCTTCTTTATTTCTGTGACATATAGTAGTTGTAGTGTTGCGCTAGCTAATGAAAGCAAATGTAATCTTCATTATAACATCTTGTGTGCTGCATTTCCCTTTTTAACAACATTTATGATAATGTAAACTATAAATGTCCAAATTTATGTTGTTACATACAAGTCCTTTCCATCTCCTTCAGCCTTCAGTATTTGAAGGCTAGTCTTCCTAATACTTGATAATAAAAAATTAATTGAATAAAAGTCAGATTGGGCCTTTCTCCCAGGAAACTTACATGCTCCGTATCTGGAGGCTATCACAGGTGATCACTGTCAAAAAGGAAAAAATTGTTATTTCATAGAAGAGAGAGCTTAAAATCTTACGTCTGAGCCTACTGTCAACTGAAGTTGCAGTGTGATTTTACATCTTTGTGATCTCTTACCTTACAACTGCATCTGTGAGAGCAGATTGAATGTCTGATGTTCACCAGCACAGTGGCCACTATGTCATTCCATCCACACAAATGACATTGCGTTTTCTAGAAGCTGACTGTATGCATATTGCCCCAAGGTAATGGTTCCTAGGCTGCATGAGCTCCACAACTACCTGGGAGTTGTTTGGGAAAATACAAATTGGCTGAGGGCAAACTCATGGTAGAGATAGTTAACAGCAATTTACTTGTGTAGGCAATGTACCCTGAGCACCCAGGAATGTCTTCTGGCACTGCTGATTTCACTAGAATGGGCATAGCCTCTGCTGTCATAAGTTTGCTCACAGGATTATTCAAAGCATAAGATCTCTCACTATCAGGGATTTCCAGGATGACAGAAAATCAGTTGTGCCCTTGAAGGAGAGATGCTTGTCTTGTTCAGAATTGATACAATAGCAAAAGGTTTTAAAGCTCAGAGTGTAGTTTGAAGATCTTTCAGTTATCTTGAAAACTGTATGTGGTTGCATGTGGAGTGTTAACATATTGCATGCAGAACATGCAAAGAAAAGCTAGTCTTTCACTTAGAAATGACTGTTTTATATAATATTTCTTCCTCTGCAGTATGCACGCCAGTGGGACTTTCACGGATGTTTACAGTCATGGGTCAGTTGCTGGTGAAGCCAACAGTAAGTGTTACACAGACCTGTCCTTGTGTGCTGTCTGGGAGAAGGTACAGTGGCATTTCGGTATTTTCCTGCAGAACACTTGTGCTGCTATATAATTCTCTCTTTAGTTTATCTGAATTCCTATAGTCGTTACCTATATACTTGTTTTCAGTTTTTTTTCTTATAGCACAAGAGCCTGCTTTTCTCAAAGAGCTTTCTCTAACAGTATAGACTTCCTCTGGTGTTGATATTAATGCACAAGTGCTAATAATAATTGCCAATATAGCCTACTAGTGCCTGAAAGGTGTCGTCTTGTTCTGAGCTCAAGAGGTAAGGATACAAGAGCAGAGAGGTACCTGGGGGTACACTTAGCTAAGAGAAATTGGCATTGCCTGAAGGTAGCTGGCAACTGTGAGGAATTCTTAAATGTAGATACTGTATTGTAGTTGTGCTGAATGATGTGAGGGAATGGAAAAAGTCTGTACCATGGGCAGATGCTCTAGTGACCTTGCTGTCATGTTTCCTAGTTTGTGTTTACTAAAATCTGGGTGTGTTTAGGTCTTTCATTTCTTTTCATTGGTCAGGGCAACTTTGAAAATATAAAGAAAATGTATACGACTGTTTTGCTGCTCGTAAGCTTTAAATTCAAAGTGCCTGACATTAATATAGATAGGCTTCTTGGAAGCTAGAAACAAAATACAACAGCAATTTATTTGCTTAAATGACTGGTTTTAATTTACTTTTTCAAGATCTGCTGTTCATTTTGTTTAAATCGAATTGGAAGTGAATGTCAATAGGTTGTGAGTGTAGGTCACTGTAATGTCCCATTCCCCTAATATCCTTAGGCTGAGAGTAAATGTAAGAGTCTTAACGTGAAATAAAAATGTAACAGTTTGCTTGCAGCAAAGAAACAGATCCGTAACAGAATGGAATCATCTCCTTTGGAGTTTTCTTGTATTGATATTTTGAAGTTGTAGAATATATATTCAAAATAAAGGTTACTGGAACAAAACAAGCCTGAGTAAATCAAAAAGGTGATTCTTTCTGTTGGTACTCAATCAATTCACATTTCTGTTTCCAAATACAGATTCTTGAGGACCTAGATGAGCAGATGTATATTATCACTTTAGAGGAAGAAGCAATTCAGAGGAAGCTTAATGGTATGCTTGTTCTGCTGCTGCTTAAAATACAGTATTTAGAGTACAGTGCTCCTAGTTATGAGTATTGATCTCAGTGTTAGATAGGCTCCTCTCTCAAAAGAATTTGAGATCTTAGTACGAAACAGTCAGTATAAGCTTACAATTAATTGCTTACTGTGTTCAAGATTAGCTTGTGTGTTTTGTTTGTTTTTAACACATTTATCAGTGCTAATATGTTAATATTCAGAATAAGAAATGAAACAGAAGTTGACCAAACCTACCACCCTTGCTGTAAAAATAATTTGGATTGATAAACAATTGTATTTTATCCCTTTGCAAAGAGCAGTAACTTATTCTGCCATCAGAAGGCTCGATGTCTTACACTGTCGGTTCTGTTTATTTGCAGGAATTTTTGTTGTTGTTGTTTCAATTGTTTAATTAATTGTTAGCATAGAATCTATGTATTGTAGGAGTTCATTATATTCTAGGAGCTGTATGGTTAATTTAATTGTTGCTATGCATCCATTAATGAATAATTACAGAGAATAAATTATAAATATTTAGAGCTTTTTGATGTTAGTATTACAGTTCTGCCATTCTTGACAAAGTGTTCATGTTTCAAAGTATTTTAAAAGCAATGTGAAACTTTAGCTTCTGAGATAAAGAATATTGCAGCATAAGAGATGCAAGTTATGGAAAAATGTGTCAGTTCTAACTCTTTAAATCTAGAAATCACGTTGTACATTTCTTTTCTAAATTGCTGTTAGCTGCATGGCTAAGTTATTGATCCACAATTTATGCAGTTGTTTCAGTTTGGAAAAAAGATTTTTCATGTCATGGCTTTTATCTGCTGTTGTCTTCTCTGGAAGATGTGACTTATTTTAGCTTTAATTTTCTTCATTTCTTACCTTTCTTTTCTACTCTTCAGTGATACCTCAATCTTTTCTTTCAGTTCTCAGTAAGTCTCTGGTAAAAGTTGATCAGGGAAGGGATCTTTGATAACAGTAGGTAATGGTCCTTGTTTCAACATTTAAAATGGGAGGAGGAGTAATCAGGCATCGTTTCAGTTTAAAAGTAACATTTGCATTTGCTGTTTTGGAAGTTACTGGTTTTAATACTGGCATGTATGTATGCATATATATGCATATACATACAAGCATGCAAAAAGATGCTTGGAGTGAATATCTTAGAAGCTATGATGGGATAATTATAATTTTGTGTGTTTGATGTTGGCTAGCACCTGTAAAATATTTGTTACTGAATATTTTATGTTGTCATGGTGATGGTGCTTATGGATGAGAAAAAGCAATACAGAAAATGAACAAATGAAGTTATTCAAGTATCTATTATAAGTAGTGCAGAGTGGTTTTCACCACTGAGGAGGAGAATGTAATTTAGATGATGGCTGTTTTTCTGTGTTGATGTCTGTTGCAATCACTTCTGAGATGGATCTACTAGAAACCTTAATTGGACCTACATTTTGGTCTTCTTGCTAAGGAAGTCACCTGTGCTAGCAGAAAGATTGGGTCTTTTTTGATGAATTGTTTGGAATCCAGCATAAAGTAGAACTGCAATCCACACATATCTCATAGAGCTGGAGAGATGAATGATGTGATGCTTAATTCTTCTTAGAAGAGGGAACTGAATTCTTCTGCTTCACGTGCTGAAGGAATGCTGTTGACACTGCTATCTGGAGAAAAGCTCGAGAGCATATACTTCAGTATACAGAGAAAAATAGTGGACTTAAGATTTTATCTGCTTTTTAGCTTAACTTCTAAATAGCGTGGAGGTGGATGTTACATGCACAAGGCATTCTGCAAGATTTCTGTGAGTAATTATTAAAGTAATTAAGTACAGTTCTCATTTATGTGGCAAGGCTGGAAAGTTTCATCCTCTCTGCCAGAAGTCTTTCTAAGACACAAATTACACTGTGAAAATAGAGTCCATATTTCAGAGGATCACAGAATCATAGGGATTGGGAGAGATCTCTGGAGATCATCTAGTTCAAACCTTTGCTAAAGCAGGTTCCCTAGAGAATTTCTGTGTTCCAGCCAGAGCCATTTGCTTCTTCTTCTGGCACTGGGCGCCACTGGGAAGAGCCTGGCCTCATCTGCTTGACTCCTGCCTGTTAGATATTTATAAGCATTGATAAGACCCCTCTTCAGTCTTCTCCAGACTGAACAGCCCCAGACCTCTTGGCCTTTCTTCACAGCCTTAAACAGTACTTGGTGGTTATCAGTGCTGATTATTTTGTGGTGGAATAATTGCTTTCACACCTAGTATTACTGTGGTCAGTCCTAATTAATGTTTCCTCAGACAATGCCTGGATGTAGTCAGGGGTTAGCATGAATCTCTGTTCAGACAGGGTTGGCTGGGTAAAACATCTCTTGAAGAGTTTGGCTGTGTGAGCTGTGCCCTTCTTTCTCAGTGTGGATGTAACTATTGTGGCTGTGGTGTAATTGATAAAATTTTATGTAAACCTCCTCTTATTTGAACACAAATCTATCTGGGAAACTGCTTGTTTTCTTTGTGAAAATTAATTTTCTCCCTTCTGCAGTACCGAAGTGAAAATTGGAGGGGGAGAGAGGGAGGGGTTTGATCACGTTATCTACCCTAGTATTTTTATCTGTTGAAGAGATACTGGGATTTGGGAAAATGTTTGTTTCCAGTGTATTATATTTCAGTACCCACATCACTCCTACAGTTGAAGAATAAAGCTGGGACTTTTTTATATTAAAAGAAAAAAGTTGCCTTCAGCTATTAGTTTTCCTGAATCCAAAGAGACGGGTGGGGTAGGATCAAAAATACTTACTTGATCAAAGTTATTGGCTCTGAAGGTATCCTTACTTATGTAAGAAAGATGAAAGGTGTTGTTTTTATTGCACGCTAGTAACAGTGTAATTTTGAACTAATTGGTGTTGAACTGCCAATCACCTAGGGGGAATGCAAATAGATACTCTTACAATTTCCTTTGAGGTACTGAAATCTTATGTCGGGGCTGGAAGAAAAACAGAATAATACCGTTAAATTGACCTTAAATGAGCTGCTTTGTGGCTTTCTTGGAGAATCCCTTCTAACTTTTCATTGCTAGTCCAAACAAGTCTTGTCTACCAATTTGATTTATTGGCTAGACAGCGCTGACATTGAACTTTGTGCATGTTTGAAATAAAGCTAATGGTGTATAGCTTTTAAGAATTTAGCTGCATCCTTTTCAAACACTCTTTTGACTGATCTGAAACTTCACCTTCCCTGCTCATAAAATATCCTTTTGTATAGTAACCTGTTTGCTACTTTTAAGGAGGAACCACAACAGCACTTAGATACGATTCAGAATATGTATGAAAGTGTCTCATTAGAGATCTAATTTGATTATGCTGACTTTGTTGGAAAGACTCCCATAGATATCAGTCTTGAGCTCTGAGTACTTATATTGAAAGGGAAAAAGCTGCATGTACCTCAAATAAAGGCTTCCCCTAGAGTCCACTAAGTCAATTATGGAGAGGAGAATATTAGATGCCAACTTTTCTTATTTTAACTGCTTCCATTAAGGTTCTGGAAACTTTTTCAACTGAGCTCTAAAGCTGTGTTAATTCAACTTACAGTAATTAGTTGTTCCACAAAACACTGTCTTAGGAGTAGGAAATGCATCAGCTTATTTTTATAATGATGATGAGACTTGTTTAAAAATTAAAACAAAAAAAAATCTGACACAAAACACCACCATATTTTGATGACTGTTTCATTTCTGAACATATATTTTAAATAATGACCATTGCAGACGCTTCAGTTCAAGTCAGTGAAAATTGTTAGAACAAACAGCATTTATACATCTTTGTGGTAAGTTCTAGGATTCAAGATCTTTATAAGATTCAAAGCCAATATAAATATTATCATATCAGTGATACAACGTGCATAAGAAAGATAAATTCAAACATCACACATTTTTGCATATAACACATTTCCTTTGTGTTAAAGACACATGCAGTGAAACATTTCAGAAATGGATTTCTGGAAGATTTTTGTGCTGAAAATTTCTGCATTGAAAAATTCCTACTCAATGTTTCTCCAAAAAAAAAAAAAATTAAGAAATATGCTTGTTTATTTTAATGTTCATTTAGCATGTCACATAGCAGAATACTGCAAGAATATGAAGGGTGGAGGATGATAAATTTATCTTCTTGCCTTGTACTGAAATTGTTAGACTGATCAACAGAGAAGAGAAAATAAGGAAACAATTAAACTGGACCGTAAAGTAGTGTTAGCATGCCAGCAATCTATGTGCTATCTAGTTTTTGTAGGCAAATTATTGAGATATGAGATAAAAGCCTGTTCATGCTATTAGTCTCATGGAAATTTATTAGCATTAAAAAAAAAAACCAACAAAAAAACAGCTGGAATATTATGCTATTACAGGTTAGCCTGCCATCAGAGGTGAGGCCAAGAGATAGCCAGCAATTGGAGTCAAGGGTAGAAACCTAAGTGTGCTTGCACTGAGAAGTTTGATTGGCTGAAGGAGAATTGGAGGTTGAAAAGGATGGAGAGGAAAGATGGGCTGACTTCCCTAGACCTACCTGGGGGAGGGGAGAAAGACTTGATGATTAACTTCTAGGCAGAAGATGAGCGTGTCAGAGAAGTACTGATGCTGTTGCCAATTTTCAGCTGGTGTAGAGGAAGGAGTTTGAGGAATTAGTTATTAGTGACACGTATACGCTATAAACTAAGGAGTGTGAAAGAATGGAATCTCATAGGTGGCTGTGAGGAAGATTGAATTGTTGTTGGCAGGAGCGCTGCAGCACAGAGTAGCTGACTACAATGGGCTGGTGGTAAAATGGAGATAAGGGCAGAAGGTAGAGGTAGAACAGCAGTATGGAGGCTGAGAGGCTAAGAAAGAGGAAGGAGAGATAGAAGTTGAAACTGGAGGTCCAGTCACCACCTGGCTTAATTTGGGGCAGAAGTGCATTTTGTCTTTAAATTGCTAAATAATAATGCTCTTGAAGGACATCCAGAGATTCTTTGCTTCTTGATATGGTAGTCGTATGGAGGCAAAAGAATGAGGCATACTAGCAATTCTATGTCAGGCTGCCACACCATTAGTGATTTTTAAAAAGTTGTTGAAGAATATCAGAAAGACAGCTGCAGCTTGAACCCACAAGTGTTAATGTCTCCTAAATCTGAATATTCACAGTATGTCCTGCAGTACTATATTTGGTCCCATCCAAAACAAAATAATGTCTTGTGTTTTAAAAGGGATATCTTCCACATTGGAAAACCAGACAGTAGAGTTGGAATGGGAGCTTGAAAAAGTGAAGTGCAAGAAAACAAATCTAGGTAATATGCTTTTCATACTGTTCCACGTGGATTGCAACTTAAGTGACTTTAAGGTACTATGTTCAGTTTGCAACAGTCACCCAATTAATTCCGATTGTTTCTAATTAAATATGTGCATTTTCAGTCCTTTCAAACTGCCGTTGGTTCTAGAATTGCCTTACATGGAATCGTTGTATCTGTCTAACAAATGTTTTAAAAGAGAGTCTGATTTGGATCTTAATTTTAATGCAATTATGAAGAAATTGTAATACTTGGCATCCTGGCATGGAGATCAGTAGCACAATCATTTTTGTGTATTGTGACATTTGTGACTATTTGGCAGCCACCCAGTAGGAGTCTCCTTACTTATTCACAGGCTTGCAATACTTTGCATTTATCAGTGTGCAGAGGTAAGACTGCAGTAAGAAGCTGCTGACTTTTCTTTTTGGTCGTATTGTATGTCAGTATATCTAAAGTATGCTAGTCTCCTATTTTGTCATTTATGTGATAAAAGAAAAAAAAATTAGATATTTAAATTACCCTTGAGTTCACACTATAATATACATACAGTTCTGCTCTTTTTTATGTATCTCAATATTCAGTGTAATATTACCTTACAGAAGCACGGCCATTATCTAGAAGACTTTATGAACTGAGTAAACAAAGTGTTTTTAAATTCATTGTAGTTTAACCTCTGCATGCCAGGGGAAGAAATGTTATGGTGGAAATACTGTTGAACAAGAAAGAAAAATTTGCTTCTGTACTTCTCCTTAACTTTTCTCAGAGTAGTCTTCATTTTTGGGCATTGCTTTGTACCTCTCTTCAGAGTGGTTAATATGATGAACTGATTGTTGTCAATTTGAGAGAAGATTACTTTGTTATCTGCATGCAAGACTTTGTGGAACCCTAAATAATTGTTGTTTGTTTTGCTCTGAGCTGATGGATGTTAATATGCTTCTGTGTTTCTCTTCTGAACAGAGCGTCGGAAAAAAGCTTCTGCTTGGGAGAGGAATTTAGTGTATCCAGCTGTTATGATATTACTACTGATTGAGACAGTAAGAATTCCAATTTTTAAAAGGAAGAATAATGAAGAATTCTTCAGTCATTTGGGGGTGTTGTTTTAAAAATTCTGGGTAACATCTTTGAGCAATAAACTTAATACTTCTCCTGATCATTTTGAAAGAACTTACCATTGTGAATTCCAGTGAGGATATACATACTCATTGTTCAAATGTGGAATCCTTTTAATTAATTAGATTGTTTCTTCTTCTTCATAGTCCATCTCAGTTCTATTGGTCGCTTTCAACATTCTTTACCTGTTGGTGGATGAGACTGCAATGCCAAAAGGATCAGGGGTAAAGTAAACTTTTCTTACGCAGTTTCTATAGTCTTGGTAACACTTTGGAGACTTGACAAAAGTGCACTTTGAAACTTTATGAAGTTGCTTCTGGGTTTCAGCTCTGCTGAAGCATTTGCTACACCTCATGATACAGAGAGTTCTTAATAAACCAGTCCATAATCTTTACAAACATGTAACAGTCAGTCAGGTAAATAACTGATTTGGAGTTTTGCATTTTTCTGGCATGATCTACTTTTATACAGTCTAGAAATGATCAGTTTAAGGAAAAAACAAAGGTAGTAAAGAAACTATACGAAAAGCCTTTCAGATCATTGTGTTCATCTTTCAAAACGTGTTTTTTCCTCCTTCATGATGAACAACCAAAAAAACTTCAAGAAAGTAAAAGATAGCATACTGAGTAGTAGTCCTTTTAATCACAAGGGTATGTGAGTTGGTAATGCTTTCCCGTGCCTGTAGCTATATATGACGTTGCAGAGCTGTAAAAGCCATTCAGTTTGTTGGCTGTGCTGTTTGTTGCATTGTGAACAGCTGCTCGTCTTTGGCAATCTCCTGTTTTAGTTTAGTTCTCCACTAATATGGTGGATAGATGCAACATACATGAATTGCAAAACTTTGTAACTTATGCTGCATTTCACTCAAGTTTGAAAGCTAGATGATGCAATTGCAAGGGATGTGAGGCTTACAGGTTACAGAACATCAGAATGATCCTTAAATAATTAAGAAAAAGGTTTGTTTCATCTAAGATGTATAATTGAACTGTGTATATATGTTGTGTGTATGTTATTAAATTATGCAAAATATTTTTCTCCTAGGGACCTGGAATAGGAAATGCATCCCTATCCACCTTTGGTTTTGTGGGAGCAGCACTTGAAATCATTTTGATTTTGTATCCTTTCTTTAAGAATTCTGTCTGTTAACAAGCATTCTGTCTAGTTTTCTGGGACAGTGGTGATTTACTAAGGCGCTTGGAAAGAAGAAAGAGATAGGTCAGTCTTTCTCAAGCACTCCAAGTGTGTTTTTTGGGGGGGGGGGGGGGGCCCGCTGGTTCTTAAGACTTTTAGGAGACTGCTGAGGACTTGAGTGAAACTTACATTCTTTGGAGGTTCCTTTTTCCTTGATTCTCACAGCTATCTCATGGTATCCTCTGTTGTTGGCTTCTACAGCCTTCGTTTTTTTGAAAATTTCATTCCCAGGAAGGATGATACAACTATGACAAAGGTAAGGTAAATTCTGTGATGGTGACAGCCCCCTCCTCTCTCTTGCCACCCAAGACAAACTGACTCTTTTGGTTAGTAATTGCCCCGAATGGCTCATTTGCAGTGATCATTATTTGTTTGTAAGCTGCGTAAACACAAACTGGAAGATTTTCAAAATGCTGAATGAGTGGGAAAAGGGATGTGCTCTGTTTAGTTTGGATGGCATCCATTCACTTGTTAACAAGCTCTGCTATTCCCAGCTTTTTACCAGCTATAGAAAAGCTGGTGAAAGAACTTTTTTTCAAAGGAAATGTATTGCTAATGAGTAACTTTGATTGTGCCTAACTGTACTTCAAGGAGCTTGTTTGAAATCTGAAGAACTTGGTTGCTAGAAGTAATACAGACAGAGTAATTCAAATTTGAATAATTAAACTAAGACTGAGGAGGTCTATTCAGCAACAGTTTGCAGTTTGAGGCTAATTTGACTTTCTGCAATTTAGCACTGGCTTGAGTACAACAAATGCTGTTACCTAACGCTGAAGAACATGTTTTTTTGGTTTTTTTTTTTTTGCAAAATATTCCCAGAGCTGACAAGGGGAGGTGATCAGTAACCAAGGAACAGATGTTGTATTTAATTATATATCAGTGTGTTTCACTATGAAGAAAAGATATTGGATAAAAATGTTTTTGCCATAAATTATTGGGAAGGGGGAAGTAGGTAAACATGGAGTGGTTATAGCAGATTAGTTAGGGAGTTAGAATATTCTTAATGGTTGTATAGTTTGTTTACAGTATACAAAAATAGTATAGAAATAAGTAGTGATGCATGAATATCTACCCTCTTTTAAGGTGTTTGGAGTTCTTTAGAATTCTGATAGAGTTGGGGCTGAAGAAAGTGATCCTTCCTGAGAGAAAGAAGTTTCAATTACTCTTTATAAAAGGCTTTACCAGAACTGGAGTAAAATGTAACAGCTGTGATTTTTTTTCATACTATTTAAAGTGGCCAACAGGCATTCAATTGAAAGGAAACTCTTTGTTGTAATTTTTTCAAACAATTCTAATCCTGCAAGCAGTTACATACAAAGCTTAAGCTGATGTATCAGTCATCTACTTAAGCTCATGGAATGGTTCTTTTCTAAACAGTTTGCAGGAATTAAATAGTTGATGCTTTGCAACATAGTAGCTTTGAATCTTAATGCTTTGATTAAAAATCAATGAATACATATTTGATTTTTTTTTTTTAAACTCTTGGATGATCAATTGTGCAACACCATGTGGAGAGGTGTTACAGAGGTAATCAAGACTACCAACAGGTTGTAGAATTGTTAAGATACGTTTTGAACAATATTTTATGCAATTGTTTTTCCTATATCTTGACCAGATTTTCTTGTTTGTTTGTTTTTTTCATTTGACGGTCCTGTTTATCATCTCAATGCTATCTGACATATTCAAACAGATAATTGGAAACTGTGTCTCAATCTTGGTGCTGAGCTCAGCTTTGCCAGTGATGTCAAGGACACTGGGTAAGTGAAGCGTAGAATGTTGTAATACAAAATGTTAGAATAAAGGGCATTTAATAATGGGTTAAAAAAACCCGAACAACTGAGCAGCAAAACGTGTAGTTGTAATTCTCATGTTGTTGTCTGTGTTTGGGACCCTTTCTATAACATGAGCTGTTTATTATTCTGACAAACGTGCATTTAAAAAACAGCAGCAGTGCATTTTCTAGAGAATACTTTTAAAAAGGCAGGTCAGATTTCAAAATTATTGAAAGGAGATGTTGTGAAGAATACATGGTACATACATACATACATACATGGTACATACAGGGCAGAAAAAAATAGTGTCATGTTCACTGTCAAATTACAGCCCTTTGTTTTTATGGAGAAAATACATTTGAGGATTTCAAATATAAAATGAAGTAACGTTAAGCGGACTTGCCTTCTAAAATAATCTAATGAATCTTTGTTGATTAATTCTGTTTGGCACTGTGATAACCAGGCTGCTTCCATTTTCACTGAATCTTCTTGCACTTTGCATTCCTTCAGTTTTAAAATGCAAATCACACGACTCTAACATTGCAGAATTGAAGCAATTCTCATGTTGTTTTTTTTTTTTTAAAGAACCAGCAGTAGCATTCAAAATGAACAACTTAGCCAGTTGGAAAGACAAGATGTTTAGGATGTTTTGTATCTTAGCTTTGTTGAATTTGTTCATCTTCAGCTCAAATTCTAAAAGTTAAAGGTCCACAGAGCAGCAACTTGTACTGCAGCAGTTCTGTAGCTGATTATTTCCAACCAGAATACAGTCAAATCAAGAGTAACTAGTGTTTTCACTAAGCTATACTGTATATTTTTGTGGTGTATATCTACAGATGAGTGTTACGTACTAAATCAGTTCTTTAACATAAAGAAACGTAACATGATGAATGAGTGAATGACTGCAGTGTAATGCATGTGGGAATGTTGAATCCTGAAGTATGCTCTCTAAAACTCACATCTTAAAAAAAGAAACAAACACAAAACTGTAGCAAAACTTGAAATAAATAAAGGAGTAGGTCAGGTATTTAAGGCAGAGTTAGCACACAGCTAGTTTAAGACCTTTGTACAACACTTCCAGTGCTGAGGAAGATTGTGTTGAAAAATTAGTGTATTAAAATAGAATTGTAACATTAGGATTGTGTTCGCTGCCTTACTGCAATAATCATTTCTTTGTTAAAAAAAATCATTGTTAATGATCTGTGAGATCAACGGTTGATAATAAGTGGTTTCTGTGGAAGAAAGTATACATGCTGGGTGCATTGTTGTCTCGTAGGAAACAGATTAATGGTAAAACTCACTTAAAAAAAAAAAAAAAGCCGACAAATGAAATTCCTGAATAGTTTGCCATAGAGATAAATAAAAGAAGAAAAAAGATGGAACAATTAACACACAGCTAACAAATGCACAGACACAGCTGTCCAAACAGGATTAATAGAGTGTGTTAGAGTACAGTGAGTCATGTGGCGCTTTGCAAAAATATCAACATGTGTTGCACTACATGCTACTGCCCTGTGGGACTGAGAAGGTGAAAAGAAAGAAATATGTTAAGCAGATTCATCGTCTTTTCAGATCATTAAATAAGTAAGTTTCTAGACTGTACAGAAAGCACTAAATATTCTTGTTATGTGAAAGATAAAATAGCAAAAGTTATCTGATATGGGACCTTCTTCAAGTCTTAAAGATGGAAATAGCAGAGTTTTTTAATGTTAAACAGTGTACTTATGTAGATGAGCTGTCTCTAATCTTAGTCCGTGATAGCTTTTACTAAGCTAAACTAATTTTATCAGAGCTTTTCAGCCTTAGTAGTCCTGCTTGAAAATTGTTTCCCACCAACACTGTATTGCTATGAGGCAAATGGAGAACAGGGCACTTACAGATAGAAATATAGAAACAAAGAATTGTGAACTAAATGGAATTTTCTGATATGATGAAAGCTGTACAGAATTCTTCTCTTGCTTGTAATGGTACAGCAAAACACCATATGAAACTCATTTGCAAATATAATTTAAAATAGTGTTTCTTTTTTAACCTGAACAGCTTTTTTAAAACCTGATTTTTTTTAAGCCTGAACAATTATTTAGTGCTTCATTTGGAAAACTGTCGTGAACTTTCATGGATAAATGTCCACTAGAGCTGCAGCTTTCAGTTCTGAGCAGCTTTTCAAGTTGTGGTCTTGGGAACTCTTTCTTTTTTCTACAGGCTGTGTAGATTGTGCTTCTGAGGAGTCACAAAAGCTTGTTAACCTTTTCCCCAGCACGCCTACGGAATGATGCTGTCTGATTTTCTCATGAGCAGTGACTTTTTTGTATTTGTAAGGGGAAAATGTGTAGCTTATGTTACAGAAGTGTTGTGCTTCATTTTTGTTTGTCCTTGGAACTCCCACACCATTGCCAGCTATTCTTCTGAACCCCTTTGTGTCCAGATAAATTCACCCAATTTTCTGCCTGTTTTGTTTCTTTTCCTTTGAGGGTCTGGAAGTCTATACATTCAGGTTTGACTTTCTCAGTTTTCCTGTAGCTCTGCAGCCTGAGTAAAACACTCTGCTGCTTTGAAAATGTTCTTAAGGGCACTGTTTGGCTTCAAGTGTGAAAACAACTGTTATTTTTCAACTGCTTACCACTTATTCAGTCAGCTTGTGCTTCATTTCTCTTGCTTTATTTCTACTTGCTTCTCTTTTGCTGTTTTGGTCAACTTTAGGTTGATTTTTTTAAACCTCCTTTATCCTTTCAAACTTTTCTCATTTTCTTCATTGTGTCATGTTTTGCTTGAACCCAAAAGTTGATTCAGTTTTTTTTTTTTTTTTTTTTTTCAATTTAAATGACTGAGTACAAGAAACATCTGCCTTCTAATATGATGATGGCTGGCTGAGGAGTCTTGAGGGTCTGAACCTAAATTATGGCACAGTGAGGTTTGTAAGTGCTGAGCTTACCTTTGAAAGGAAGGCAGCTGACCTCTCATTCTGTCTCTTCACTTAGTATTGCTGGTGAAGTTGTAGTTCTCAAAGGCCTCAGTCTTTTCAAAAATAAAATGATAGAAAAATATTCCAGATCCTGCAGGAACACTTCTAGTTTATGATGCCTTTAGTTCTGGTACAAGGTTTCCTTCCTTCACAGTGTTAGTCTGAACTGTGAGAACATGTTGTCATGACATTTTCTGAGTCGAGTTTTTAGGTATGTAACAGCTCATTGATCCTAGACAATCATTATTTGTGTATTATAAAGTCATAGAATGGCTTGGGTTGAAAGGGACCCCAAGGATCACCAAGTTCCAGCCCCTTGCCACAAGCAGGGCCACCAACCTCCAGATCTGGTACTGGACCAGGCTGTCCAGGTCCTCATCCAACGTGGTCTTCAGCACCTCCAGGGACAGAGTGTCCATAACTTCTGGGCAGCCTGTTCCATTACCTCACCACTGTCTCTGAAAAGAATTTCCACCTGACATCCAATCTAAACCTTCCCTTCTTGAGCTTAAAACCATTCCTCCTTGTCTATCACAGTCTACCCTTGTAAAAAGCTGTGAAGATGACCTGTCGGTGCCATCTTTCAGCCAGGCTCTTTTCCTTCTGTGAAAACAGAGGCGGATAGCTCTGGGAAGAAAGCTGTGGTTGGAAAGAAGTCTTTAAACTTCAGTTTCAAGAGTAGATGCTCTGAAGAGCACAGACATACAAAAGCTCAGTGTTGTGGTTCTCGTGGAACCTGTGCTGCCTGTGTTTTTCAACAAGAAAATCCACAATGTATTTTAACGTTTTTTCTGAAACAGATTTCACAGAAACTGAAATTTCAGACATTTTTCATTCTAGTGTTGACTTTTCCCAGTTATTTTTATTGAAACTTTAACGGCAGAATTCTTATTTAAAGTAAGGAGTTGAGCTCTCATTATTCAAACATTTTGCTAGGAAACCTAAGAAAGCATTTTGCTAAATGTCTTAGTTTTATGGTAGTCATAGAGGCAAGTGACTTGATAGCACTTTCTTGTCTATTTAACCACATCTTACTGTATGTTGTCTGAAACTACTTCACTTCCACAGAGTGATAGTTGTGTGTTTTTCTGAAAATGTAATCAATGTTTTAATGCAAGTCTCAAATTCAATTTTAACAGGAATTACTCGATTTGATCTGCTTGGAGACTTCGGAAGGTTTAACTGGCTGGGAAACTTCTATATTGTATTATCTTACAACTTGCTCTTTGCTATCATGACAACATTATGTCTGGTCAGAAAGTTCACTTCTGCTGTGCGAGAAGAGCTCCTGAAGGCATTAGGTAATAATAGTACTGGAAATTTAGTTTATACTTCATATTACTTTTCTCTAGCATTGATACCTTGTAGTGTTACTTCCATGTTGTGAAGGCATAGAACATATTCTTTGCTGCTCCTGAGCATGCAGAAGTCTGAATATGTATCAAAGTGTGAGCAGTGGTTGTCAGTAATTCTTAAGGGGAACTTGGCATTTATTGGCAATTGGAAGGCAGAAGTAAGAGATTTTAATCTTTCTTCTTGTCTTTTTACCCTAACAGAGACACCTAATCCTTAAATTTTTGTTATGTGTATTATATTGAGCTGCTTTCAGATTCTGCATTCCAAAATGTAAATGTTCATGTGCTGTGTTTGTTTGCTTTTCAAAGCAACTTATTAATTCACTAAAAATAGGTTAGTGGAAATCTCAGCTGCTTTGTTTTGATGTTTTTTTAAGTGCTACATGTTTACAAAGTCCTTGTACAAAATGTATGGGATCTTAATAACTGGCTGAGTAACAACTAGAGTTGGTAACAGGATTTTGATCAAATCATGCTTTCATGTTCAGGAATTTGCAAGTCTGGCCATATAAAAAAGGTGAGAAAAAAATTTGATAGTAAGAAGTTGTTACTGCATCTCATGTCAACTAATAAATGAAGCTCCTTTTTACAGAATAGTATTTGCTTAAATGGAATGGGCTAACAGTGAGACTTCAGGGTTTGTTTATAAACATGGACTCAGTTTGTAGTGTCTAAAAGGTACTTGTATTAGTTTTCATTGACTACTGCTTTCCGAGTTGGGAACTTGCTGAACAAAATCCTAGAATGAGCCTTTCTTCTGGAGGCAGTTAAGTTAGTTTCAGAGCTACTAAATAGGGCACTGCAAAATGACTGATACTGTAGGACTAACAGAAGCCATTCTGTCTTTTTTGATGTTGAGTTTTCAAGCTCTAGGGGAACAGGTGACTAGGGAAGTAGTGTGTAAATCTGTCCATTGAATTTTATGCTAAAATACTTTCAGAGAAGTTGCACAGTTGATTTGAGAGAGTGCTTAGTTGAAGCAGTTTTTAGTCTGCATGTATTTTTCTGAATAGCTGTATGCATGAAATTTGGAGGAATCTCACTTTTTTCCTTATTGTGTAATGTTTTTCAGGATTAGATAAACTTCATCTGTCAAACAATCCAAGAGACTCAGAGACAAAGGCATCTGCAAATGGGCATCAGAAAACACTGTGATTGACAATCACCTGCAATCAACAGAGCTGAAAACATCAACCTCATGGCATTCCCGACATCTCATCAGCTTTTTTATATTGTTCTCTTGCTGATAATCTGGGTCCAGCCTTGTCTCATTTCTTGATGCTGTGTGCTTCTGAGGAACTTAGCTGTATCAGATTCTTCTCTTTCCAGTTAACTTCTGGTCTGCTTGTTTATTTCCCAGTAAGTTAATGCAGGAGGTGCCTTGAAGACTGGAAGCTGAAGAGAATAATTAATTTCTTTTTATTGACAGTCTCTTATTCTTAGATACAAACCTGCTAGCCTCTGAAAGCATAGTATCTCCTGTGTAATGCAGACACAGGTTGTAAAGAATAACTTTGGGACTTTGAAAAAAAAGAAAAAAAGAAAAAAAAAGATACACTTGAAGCCCGGTATGACCCTTATTGGAAATGTAAGCTACTTGGAATGGGCATCCTTGACAGTAGATAAGCAGTTCCACTAAAAATGTTTTAAAAAAGAAAGTTACTGATAAAGACCACAGATGATGTCGGACTCGGTCTGATAGCATGAAGCTTTCTTGGAAGGCCAGCGTTTTCAGTTCTGTTCCCAGCTGTAAATGCCAGTTGCTTTACTGGAAGTCAGGCAATGTCTAATGAAATAGTGAGCCACACTGTGAAGATTTACTTCAGTGTTAAATCTGAGCCTAGTGTGCTTTGGAGGAAAAAAAAAAAAAATCTGGGTAGACCCCATGTCACAACTCTTACAATTCTGTAATGATGTGGTGCTGTGGAGGTCACTCACCCTACCAAGTACATCCCTGTAAAATTCTGTATGAACTCCTGTGTATAAGTAGTACTTGTAACTCATGCAAGTTGCACAAGTCTAGGAGGCTGTGGTTGTAGTTGTGTGTTTTTTTTGGTTTTTTTTTTTTTTTTTACAATCTTCTTTAATTTGAAGTAAATTATGTCTCTGAATTTATACTGTAGTTACGAGGATTTCTGTTCAGTGGCATAATCCACTATCTTTCACTAGCCTGTTTTTTAATGTACACACAAACATGTATATAGGACTACATGTGTAGATACCATAAATTAAATCTAAGCTTATAGAGATGGCATAGTTGGTTTGATAAGTAAAGCTTGTGTGTTCAAGCTTGGTAGTACAAATTTCTGTGATGTTACAATTTAACTGCCCAAAGGCCTTACATTCACAATGGCATCAGAGAGTGTAATGTCATTTTTCTTAGCATCACTGCTGCCTTAGGAATTCTTTTAGCAGTCTATGGTAATAATAAAAAAAATAGAAAAATGGCAAAACCAGCACCCACCAACAGAACCCCAGCTGTTCCAACTCTAGTTGCATTTTTGTGCTGCTCTGTTACAGGTAGTGTTCAAACGGATTGGAATGAGGACAACTTCAGTATGTGCTCCGTATGTAGTGGATCAGTTAATATTCCTGATTATTCTGGTTGCTGTTAAACTGAAGTATGTCTGTTTGTGGCTTTAGGTCTTGAGTGTGATGAGGCTGTGACAGTTAACTCTCCAGCGGGGTTCTGAGATAAACTCTGTGTCAGAAGCTGTTGGCTGGTGTCTACTGAGATGGCTGCACTGGGCTGTAGACTTACAGGTGTGTGTGTGTGAATGTGACAGTTGGTTTTTTTTCTTTGTTTTCTGAGACAGTTTCAAAACTCATGCTCCAGTGTACCTGAGAATTTCTTGTTTTTTTGCAGGTTGCCTTTTCTGACTTGAACTGGGGCATAATATGAATACAGCTGTAGCAAATATGCTGGAGTTACTTTTTGTGTGATTAGTATAAATTCAAGGGTTATTAAACTGACTGTTGATGTGTTGTACTGAGTCTTGGAGGACTTAAAGTAAAATTGCTTTATTTTTTTTTACTAAGATTTACAAGCATCTCTTTCTGTTGTTTAATGCTCTTTCAGTGAGAAAGGTTTTCTGAGTCAGTTCCTCAGCCAAGAACAGGGAGGTATAATTAGAATTTGCTTGAGAACGTTTACATTTTAAACACGGGGAGTTTTCTTATTAGGGCCATAATTCAGGTATTCTCAGAGCTTGCAGCCTTATGTGTTATTATAGCTAAAAGCATCTGAAATGTATCCACTCGTCTACATAAGTGATAGTATGACTAAAGTTGTCCTAGTGTCTTACTGGGGCAGGTGAGCTGTGAGTGAGGCTAGTTAGCTTTGTTAAAGTATTTCTGTTGCAGCTTTGGCATTTATATAAATATGGTCTTTGAGTGAATGGATTTGAGGGTGCATCAACATAGGTCTTGGTGTTCACACTTCTCTCAGTAGAGACAGAACATTTCGGAGATGTTTGTCCCAGCATCCAAGAAGGCAGGAAGAGATGGGCTTCTGAGGTGCATGTGGCTTCTGGAAGCGAGTTTACAATTACTTAAGCTGAACAGAGGCAGCTCCTGCTGATGAGCCTGCAAGGTTCAGGCAGAACTTGAAAACTCTTTCAAAGCGAATGTTACAGCCGTGCCTGCTCCCAGCCCTTCTGGATTCTGTGGTCAGAGAGATGGATAAAGCCTGTAAGAGAACATTTTACATTGGAATATGACAGATGTTTAAGGATTGCTGTGTGGTTTCCGTGGTGGATAAGAAATTCAGAACTACCCTGTGCAGTTAGTGACAGTGTTTTGTTTAAAAACCAACTGTTTATATTGTAACACTGTCTGCATTATGATATGTTTGGCCTTGAAAATGACATGCTTATGCAGAACTCCTTACAGATCCAGTGGTACTTTCAAATATCCTGTGTGTAAGATACAGGTCACTGTATACTTTTCACAGAAGCATATGGTCACTTAAATACACACAACTGGTAATTCATTAATGGATGTGATGATGCATTCCTAGTATTTTGACTCATGTAGAGTCAGGTGGTCTATACCTTCAAGGTATATACAACTGATCTTAGTAACATTAACATCTGCCTCACTTCTTAGGAGGCAAAAAGCACATAAATGCTTCCATCTTCAACTAGATACCACACAAGACCAAAAAAGTAGATGTAAATTAGGTGTTTTAGATCAGCCATTTCTTGGCTTTGTTCTGTTTTGGTAGCACAATATTAAGTGCAGTGGCAGAGCTGTAATATCGTGGGATTTCTTCTAAGTGTAAAGCACACTGTCAATATTTAACACCTTAAAATGATAAATAGCAGTATTGGTTACTATACAGTGACAGTTTTTTGCCTTCGTAGGAAGCTTTGTTTACTGTTTGTAATGTGATGTTCATCTTCGGCCCTGCTCCTCCACTGTCTTTTCCCCTGTTGACTGCTTCATGGTGTCATAGAAATTAAAGGATTTGACAAGTTGCTCTCCTTGTCTGGTTCCAAAGTACCACCTTGGGTGACACACGGGGGGCAGCTGCGTGTGTGGACAGGACCTCGTGCAGCCCCGTGCTGAGTGGGACGGATGCACACAGTGCTGCAGTTGGACGTGTTCTCCTCCATGTGACTGACGTGTGTGCCACCAGGAACAACAGCTGTGAGAGGGCTGCAGCAGTCCCTCCTGTTCCTCACCCGTGTCTACAGCAGCTCATCTGGGTCACTGCTGCATAGGAAGGACAAGCTGGCCCTTTTTGCAATGAATTTACCCTCTAATGTACAGGAAGAAGATAAAAAGCAAAGAGCAATCCCATCCATCCAGCTTTCTATGAATTTGTTGAGGTTGGCCTACTTTCTCCCTTCTTTTCCTCCTCTTTCAGAAAGTTGATGGGCTCAGGCAGTGCACAGTAGTTGAGCGTTATCTGTTCTGTATTTAAGCAGTGTGTATAACTGGGAATGCCAAGTGCAGGAGTGCAGCTAGATCCTACTATTTTATGCATACTCTGATTTTTAAATTAATTCTTTATGTAGGTAAAGTCATTTCAGTGGGGACAACTCACTATAGCCAATTTTATAACCTCTTTAAGAAGAAATAAATTTTGTTTTGTTTGATCAGAAAGTTTGTATGAACTGTGAACCTTTAAAAGCTTCAACTAAGGCTGTAAGGTCCCCATGCCCTTCCTGTTGGTATTTTTTCATTTTAGTGCTGACTTGAAATAACATTAAAGGTTGTCTAAGGATGCAAATATACCTGACTCTTCTCACCTGTATCTTTCAGGACCTAGTATCTTGTGCTCTTAAATATACTGCTGTTGGTTAACTACCAGTCTGTTCTAGTTGCGTTATTAGCATTTGAATGTTAAAAAAAATTCTGCTTTTGATCTCATCAAGAGAGCAATCCAAGCTGACAGCTGCTTTGATGTGGATTCCAGACCAACCTGGTGTGCAGGTGATGTCTGCAGCTGGCAATAACCTCTGCCACCTCTTCCTGCCTTGCCCAGTGCCCTTTGTTCAGATGAAGTCTCTAGCACTGCCCAAAGAACCTGTGATGCTCCTCCTTTCTTTGAGGCATGAGGAGCTTGGCCCATGGGTTGTCCATCTGCTACACAGTTCTAGTTGCTGTACTTTTGGATCACTTGTGATTGATGTTCTCAGAGTCTGTAGTCAAAACCATGGGAAGGAATTTGCATCTTGTGTGAAATTAGGACTGAATGTAACTTTCAGAATCCCCACTGTGCACAACAGTTTTAGGAAACTGGAGCAGAAGAATTGGGGAGAAGGCTGTAGCTCACCTCTATGCTGACCGTCTTCTTTCTCTTCCATCCTTCTCCTAGTTGATCTTTAGAATTGAACATCAGAAAAAATCCTTATTTTAAATACAGTTGATGACGTTCAAGGGCTGATGAAACTGTGCTACGCTTGGCCTTAATTATTGGTTATTGACATCTTTTCAAGTCCATTTATGAGCACCACTAGAGATGCAGCGATGATGTTCTTCAGTCACGAACATATTAGTATTTATTCATTCATTTGCACTTCATCTGTTTTCTGCTACTGGGTTCCATTAAAACAGTCCTGTCATTAGAGTGTGGCCGCTCTAAGAATTTACCAAGAGATCTGAATTTGGAGTGAGATGGAAATCCTTTAGTCATGTTTTTGGCTTCCAGTAATGTGAAGGCCATCTACGTGCTTTTCAGTGCAAGAAGCAACTTCCTTGTACCTGAGATCATGCAGAAGGCTGCTCTTATGAAGGAGCCAACGTATGAACATTGCAGACCTCCATGTGAAATGACCATAAAGAAATGCAGCGTGATGGCAGTTCCTGTGCTGGGAATGTAATGGTTGTGTTTAAATGCCTAAGGAGGAAATGAGCTGATGTATGACATGTTTTCCCCCCAGCCATGGGTTTTCTCAACCTGGGCCAAAACACTTGGTTTCACAAAATCATTGTCGCTGTTTCCACCCTGACTTTATATTGTTTTACAGAACAAATTGGAGCCTCTTCATTTTTTTTTTTTTTTTTTTTTAGATGTGGACTTCAAAGTACTTTTGTCTAATTTGGACTGAGTCCTGTTGCTTTAAAATAAGCGGACAGAAAATGGATGCATTTGGGTCAAGAATCTGAAATCTTAACATGCATAAAAAGTACATGTAGACAAAAGGAGGGTAGGTGTCCTTTACTTCCTTGGGCTGAGAATCAAATCCTACATTACCTAGGTAAAAAACGTGCATTACTCTGAAATGCACTGTCTCTAAAATCCCCACTGAGGAGACGAGAGCACCAGGATGCTGCTGGCCATCCATCACACCTGGCTACCTTCAGGTGGCCTCTGCTGGTGTGTCCATAAGAGTTACAGCACTGAATGAGTGTTTGTGTTGATGTTGCTACTGCTGTCACTGTAAGAATAGCAGCAGGTACTTCTCCTCAGGCACTTCCAGTTTTTTCCCTATAGTGTTACTCATTTAGATTGGTCTTAGTTTTTCTAAATGGAAAAAAATTGCACAATCTTAACTGTATGCAAACCTGAGTGATGTTGAATGGATTTAGTTGTACTTTGTTGGTTCAGTTTGTGCTTAAAGCTTTGTTGAGTCTGTAGTCTTAAGCAACAGCTTTTCTCACATGGTGGTATGTTGGACCAAGGTAAAACTGCTGAAAAATAACACTCTCCTTGCTAATGCAAACAGAACGGTATTCTGTATGAATACCTTCTCCCCACCAAACCCTTCTTAGAGTATCTTAGGTCAACCAGAAATATGTTTTGCAGTGTTCTCAGTTACAGTGTTCTCAGTTCTTGCTGTGTTACAAAACTTGATGAAAATAATTCTTGCTGCCTTGGTCAGGTTGACTTTTTTTGTGTGAAAAGCCATGTTTGTAGTTTTTTTCCCCATTGTTTGAAATGTTACCTCCAGTGTTTTGTAGGAAGAAGCTTTTTTTTTTTTTTTTTTTAACTGTGTTTTCAATAAAGTGTGATTCATAGTGGGGTTTTGATTCTATTATTTAAAGCCATGAGAAAGATCTGTGGCATCCCAAGCATTCTGAATGGTTCTGTGAGTAGTTGGTGTGAATAGCTGCATTCCCTTCCATCCCTCCTGCATTTGATGTATTTTGGGGATTCTCTTACAAAAAATTACGTGAATCTCCATCACATACCACATATCGTGTACACTCAGGGGAATGACAGCCCTGCTCTTAAAAGAAGGATGTGATGAATTCCAGCACTCCAAGCAAGTGAGGATGTTCATGGAAAAGTATCCAGATTGTGTGATGTTAACAGTACGACTGAAGTGCAATTCTTAATTTCTTTAATGATGTGACGGTTCTTAAACTCTTTGAAACTCTCACTGGAGACTTCAGTGTTTTCTTTAAAAGAAGTCCAAGAATTGTACATTTGGAAAGGACCTGCAGACACCTGAGCCATTCGACTGCACAGGATCAAAAATACTTATGTTAGTCCCTAAGATGTAGGTTCAATACCAGGAATATCTGTGACTACTGACAATATATTGTTGTTTAATTGTCCAAGATTCCCTAAATGCCAAGTGTAAGAGGTCCTTGCAACGTTTGCAAGCTTTGCAAAGCCTTGCAAAGCTTTAATTTGGTTCTGAGGTGTCCACAGTAAGCAAGACAACTCTTCTGCTTGCGTGAGCATTTCCAAGGCTCAAAGACTGTATTTCCCTTTGTCTTCTATTTAACAAGTGACTTCCCTAGTTCTCTCAGCACTGATGCTGTCCTCTGTAGAAACCTCTTACCTAAGGAACTCCTAGCAGGATATTGATCTATTTTAGCTCAAGTCTTTAAATACATGTGATGTCTGCCTCACTTGATGCTTGACACAATCTGATCTTGTCAGCATTATTTGAAAGCTCTCCATTTGAATAGTTAATCAGCCATTGCCTTTTTGTGCAAAATGATCTTTCTTGTTACTTTTATGATTCTTTTGTTGTCGCTTTTTTGTAAGTTACACGTGGTGACCTGAATTGGTTTCAGCAACGTACAGCTGAAAAGTCATGACCATATTTTTATTCCTGCTAAAATAGATGAGTACTTACTGGTTCCTTAGTTCTAAGAAGTTCTGAAGTGATCCTTGGGCTTTGAGGGTCATTTCTTATTTGCAAACAGCGAACTGGGATTGGTCACAGTTGTTCAAGCAGAAGCAAGAGCCGGGGTTCTGGTTGGCAAGCTTGGCTGAAGGAAAATGTGTTTCTTGCAGTGACCCCAGTGACCGTACTGATTTTCTTGTGAATGGGAGCCTGTGCTACCACGTATCAGGCATAAAACCACAATGGTAAAGGATAATGGGGGTTCTGCTGAAGGAACACAATGCCTAAATGCACTGTGCCTCATCGCTGGGGGAGAGAGATGAAAATGAGGGAAGTTGAAAGTGCCAGAGGGATGGAGACAAAAAATGTCGAGAAAGGTGAAACTGACAGTTAAAGTAGAGCAACAGCACTCAACTTTTATTTCTCCAAAGACAAGGTGAATGCCATTGTACATTTAAAAAAAAATTACTTAAAAGATCTGGATCTTAAGAGGTTCCCAAGTTAGAAACGTGCACGTGCATTGTCAGCTGTGCTCTGCTGGGAGGTACTTCACTGAACTGTGGGTGTCAACACTTGAGGACCTTCTTTTGATAATATGAGCGGCACAAAGGGCAAAGAGGATGCACTCCCAAGGAAAACTCTTCAAACGCTTCAAGACAGAAATGGTGAAACAAATGTGAGCAAGAAAGCAGAACGGTCAGTCGGGAGAACGGATTGCTGGTACCAGAAGAAACACAGGCAGGGTGAGCAGGAGGGCTGAGTGGCGTGATACAGATAGGACAGTCAGCTATCTCCTGCCGAAATGCCTAAGTAAAGACAACGACAGATAAACCTCTACAGTAGTGAAGCGATGTAAATATATCGATAAGATTACTAATTAAAGCATTCAAACTTTATGACTGGTGTATTTTGACAAATGAACAGCATTTTCACTCTCAATAGTGTCTTTAGTCTCCTTGGGCTCTTTGATTGAAAAGAGGAGAGATGCTGCTGAAGTAAAACGAGACTTCTGAAGTATAAAAGCTTGTTAAATGTTCCTGATTCAGAATAGGTTATATTAAAAAACTGAACTCCCCTGTCCTCCCCAAAAATCTCAGTTGTGCTGAAGACTGCCATGCCTTTAAAGAGTGTAAAAGCTGGTAAGTTTGGAGTTCTTAAACAAACAAAGAAAAAAAGCCAGCCAACCTGCATCTGGATCTTCTCCCAGTCATTTTCACTGAGGAGTATTTCTTTTCCTTCCAGCTGCTGAAATGCATCCCGACACGCAGCTATAGAAGAATCTATCTTGTAAAGAAAATCATCCAGGTTTATGTCATAAGAACTCAGGAGCTGACTGCTAATCTGTTGAACCTGAAAAGAAAATGGATTGCTGTTAGATTGAAAACTTAATTGGAAAACAGCCATTTTTCAGGGAAGAGGGGATGGGAAGTGAGGGGTGGGAAAATAGCAGCTGTTGTTAGGTCAGAACCTGAATTCCTTCTTACTTTCACTTCAGTTTTGGGCAGTTTTTCACACCAAGACATGTGCTCCCCTTATAACTGCTGAAAGTGACCCTTCATAGCTTATGATGGAATATTCAAAGTGAACTCTTTTAGATCTGATAGAAACAAGAAGCCAAATCCAATGGCTACACAAATAATAACAAAAGAGAAAAATCCAAACAACAAAAGAAAACCCAACCAACAAACTGCCAACGCAAATCGACCAACCACAGAAGTATCTGAAAAGCTTGCTTAGCATTTAGTTTTCAAACTTTCAGTTTCCCATTTTCTTCTACAACTACAAAAAACCTCACAGTAGCAGTTGATGTTTTCTAAAAAAAATATATATATACACATTCATGTAATGTGCAAGTATGAGAATGCTTTCCACTGAAAGCTGTAGTTCCTCAGGAGAGACTTGAAGAAGACAAACATTAGGAAAGGGCAGACAAGAAATACTGAAATCCATAACATGAGAGAAGTCAGTTGGTTCTTGATGATGTTTTATTCTTTCTTTAATAGTTTGATCCACTGATAACTGAGACCTATTATGTCTTATTGTGTTCAAAAATGATCTCAGGCGCAACAGTATGTTGAAAGGATGTATCTGCATGTTAGCACCACTCAGCTTTAGTTACTAGTGCAAAGTAATGCTGATGTGATAACTTGGTGTAGCTAGCTAAAAACAAAATCCTGAGGAGTGTATTTAAATCACAACATGATTTGAAAAGCAGCAAAGTACAGAACTTCCTGTACTTTGTAGTACAGGTTTTATATCTGGCAAAAATTGGATGGATGTTCTTGTGCTTCCTCTATGATTGCTCACTGACGAGAAAGAAAAAAATTCCAATTCTATCTCATGCAAACAGTGATTTTTAGTGGTATGTGTGCAGGAGGAAACAAACAAAAATCCCACTGCACTCCTCCAGCATTTACACTATCGGGTTTCCGAACAATCCCAAATGATAACTGAGACACAAAATAAGCTGATTAAAGTGCAGCATATTGGTATATCTTTAATGGTTTGTTGTAAATCTATATTCAGTGAAGATTACTAGGAATGTCACTGGTTAATCTGAACTGCTGTCACCTAAGTTCTAAAACTGGACCTGCTCCACACGGTAACATTAACTGCTCTGACTTCTTTTTAAAACCAGACTTCAGAAGGTACAGGATAAGATCATAGAATCATAGAATGACTTGGGTTGGAAGGGATCACCAAACTCCAACCTCCCTCCCCCGCCAACCTCCATATCTAATACGAGCGCAGGCT